CATCCCAGGATCATTCACTATGCTTCGTCGCGTTTGACTTTTTCTTTGGTGTACTGCTGCACTTTTCATTATTATACGTCAATGATCTTTCATTATATCGGGGCTATCCATGACTGTTTAAATGCCAGTATGTACTATCTAAGCAAATTTTAACCGAATTCCTTAAGTTCCTTTGATACTTTATATTTGTCGAAGGCTTTAGTCAGCCTTTTATTAGCTGTGCATGTTAATTATCTAAAGGTAATTTATAGAACTTTTCTATTCTCCCCCGTCAACAATTTCATCACAATCTTTTCTTATCTTTTATATCAGGTGATACGAAGGAGTCAGATCGTGAGGACTCTTGCCTTGCAGAGCTTTATTCTATTCCAGTACCTGGAGTTGCCCGTTCTCCTTCAGTATTTTCATCTACCTCATTTGCTACAATTTTTGCCAACAAAGTGCGCAAGGTGATTGTCTGTCCCCCTCGCCTGTCTTGCGATTCCACTCCCTCTCCAGAAGGACATACATGCAGTCATCTCGTTTCGACCCGCGCCAGCCTTGAATGGCTGCCACCTTTCACTTGCAGCACTTCTATTCCATCAAACCCTTTAAATAATGACTCTTTCTTGAGCGCATCATCCTCCTCCGAATCTTCATCCTCCCCTCCGGTTTCTCCCACTTCACATCTGCAATCCGAGCCTACCGAGTTGCTTTCCCCTTCGACCTTTCGGTTTGGCCTTCCATCTTCACATGCTTCGTCTTTTGCCCCTGTACAGCCGCTGATGCGACCCCTTAAAGCCATACAAATCAATTCTTCTCCTTCTGCTCCACTCTCCACCTGTCCTTCTCCGTCGGTGTCTTTTAGCCCAGCTGACTGGTCAACAGATGCCCTCGAGCTTGGCCTCGACTTGTCCTCTCCGGCTTTGTTGGGCGTCACGGCAGAGGATGAATCTTCCGATCCCGTTTCCCTGGCACCTGGCATTCTTCAGTCGACATCCTTGTTTGTCGTCAATCCTCGAGCTCACATTGAATCCTGTTCATCGGATGGTGAACTTAAACGGCGGGTCTCTCCATCGTGCCAATCAAGGCAATCACATATCGACAAGCCCAGTGGCATATGTGGCCGAAGGAAACAGCGACTACATGAGCCACTACAAATTCATCCTCCTCGGAGGCAATGGCCTGGCTCGTTCAATTCAAAGACTGGGACTAACAGAACACCCTATCGTTTCGGTAGGTGCGCTTCCTTTGACCGGCTACACACACTCACACAAGTCTTCTCGTCAAAGTTTTCCCGATTGCCGAATCGGCGTATATCGCTAGCCATTCAATTATGATTTGCAGGCTTCTTTACTCATTATTCCTGATTCATTCCTTGTAGGTCACTTCACATAGTTCGCAACAGTTTTTTTCTTAGTAAAGCCTATTATAAAGACTATTAACTATATATTCTTACAATCATATCCTAGTGAGGGGACATTTTAAGTAACACACTTTAGGAAATTAGATTTAGAAGACTCCTTTAATAGATTTATTTCGTCTTAAATTTTAGTTCGTTTAAAAAGGCGGCTGAAAAGGATTCGTAAATTGGCCTCTTTTGAAACCAAAGAAGGATTGCCTCGGACTTGTGACTGCTGGATTATGCAAAGAAGTCCTTTGCTCATCGTAGTGTAAATCATCATTTACAAAAGATTCCTCGATACACTAATTCACGAAAGGTTCTGTTACTTCCTATCATCTTGCTAATCTTCAACTTGGCCATGAAGTTTCCATTTCTTCCAAAGCTTTGGGTTTTCGATCACTCCATCTGGTGCCCTCTCGTATTTATACGTTCAGAAACCTCCTATTTCTGGCCCTATAAACCTATATAGACAGATTTTTGTTAGGCTAACCTCTTATACATGAGTAGACAAGTCCCCCTCACATAATCATTACCACATGAGCACAAAACAACCTGATCTGCTATGGATGTCTTAAACTTCTCTCATAGGAGACACGACCAAGGACATATTAGGATTTAACCAAATCCTGGTGATTTGACTCTGCTAATCATAAGGTTCTTATAATCATTGATTTAATAACCTATACTTGAACCACATTAATATCATTAAGGACGAAATTGAGAAGCAACCCTAAATTTATGAGCTTCCTATACACATCCCTTCTTAAGTTGCTCCCTTCTTCACTAATCAGGATAT